AAGTTTTTTTGATTACCACATACTGAAGAAAATGAATGAAAACATGAAAAAGAAATCAACAAAATTTATTTATTTACGTAAAAGTAATTAAGCCTCTTATCAGAATCCAGATACAACCTTAGTTATTTTAATTCATCTAAGTACCTAAAGTTCTAAAATTATCTTCTTTTTTTTTTTTGTATGTGCATGAACCAAGGCGAATTCATAAAAGGTGGTAGCTGGGTGTTGGTAGGTGGGTAAAGACCCAGGAGCTTACTAAAAGCTAATTATCAGTAAACATTATTCACTCATAGAACAATGTGTGCGAACTCGTACTTGTTTTTCGCACTGTTTGTTTGTTTGTTTGTGTGTCTTACTTAATACCCTTACTTAATACTCTAACAAATTTATAATTGTAAGCCATTAATCATTGATAGACTAGGCGCAACAGCGGCACGCCTCCTAATCACAAGCGCGCACACACACACACGCGCGCTGCTACTTACATACATACATACATACATACATACATACAATTAGTAGTGCTCACCACCTGGGCTATCATTTAGAAAACTTGTTCTAACTATGTAAGCCGTCGAAATGCAGCTGGCTCTACAGCGAAGCCAACCATTAATACCACCAACAACAAAAGGTTGTTGTTAAACTGTACACAGTGTGTGGGGCTTAGTAAAGGCCACTTGAACAAAAAAAATAAAATAAAAATAACAAATTTCAAAGAAGCCGCCTTCTTGGCAACTGGAGTAAAAGAGAAAAAGAAATTAAAATTAAAAGCGAAGAATAAATTCTATGTTAAGCGCCCAGATAACCGACAAACAGTCATTCCATACATGAAAAAAAACACACGGTCATGTACACTCGTACATGAACATCTCCTAGCTATGCTCTCTGCTATTCGCATATTCTCGTATAATCTCAGAATTGTCAGAACCTTCAACCACTAAATCCCACCAAAACAAATGTCAAACGATTTGTTTTTGGCCACACCAGCTGGTTGGGCGCACTCTCTAAATCGACTGCTTAGTGTACGAACTCATATAGCGACTAACACATGTATGTATGTATGTAAGCGCAAATGTATATATATAAATATGTAGGGAATAGCGAATTCGCTATTTTTATAAATCTGGCAACCTTTTGTAAAGTTTAAAAGATTAAACTCGACACACACTTAACATCCTCCATGTGGTGCATTTGGTGAATTTGGTGGCGATGTTAAACGTGTGTGCAGTTTTGGCTTTGTGATATGCATTCATACATACATATGTAATTTTATTCGACTTTGCTCATACTTAAAATATAAAATAGATTTAAAGAGCTTTATCAAGTGAGATTTTTAAACTAAATTTCAATTTATGAAACATTCTTTATTTAAAGTAGGTAAAGCATCGGCTTTCTCGTACAAATTTAATTCATAATATCATTACTCGAGTCTGCATATCGCGCATTTTTTCCAAAGATGTACTAAACCAATATTTATCTTATAAATTTAACTGAATTAAAATTCTCAAATAGGGGGCAACCCGCTTCAAAAATATTCTCTTTAGTAAACTTTCTTAAACCCTTTATTTTGTAATATTTCATTTATTTTTTGAAATTTAAAGAATACGAATTATCAAACAGGTGGCACCCCCTAAAAAATATTTTCGACAGTGAATTATACTAAATCTATTTAACTTGATATATTAATACTACAAAATTTAATTATTCGTACCAATTAAATTAAATTAAATTACCATTTTCAAACAGGTGGCAACCCCTAAAAAATATGTTCGACAGTAAATTATACTAAATCTATTTATTCTGATATATTAGTATTACAAAATTTAATTATTCGTACCAATCAAATTAAATTAAAATTTTGAAACAGTTGGCAACCCCTCAAAAATATTTTCGGCAGTAAACTGTACTAAATCTATTCAGTTTAATACATACCCATATTTCAAAATTTAATTTATCTGTTTATTATTAAAATAAAATTAAAAAACAGGTGGCATCCTTCCACAAAAATATTTTCGGCTGTAAGCCCTCTTAAAACTTTTTCCTTTGACAGCTATGGTGAGTTATTTACTTTATCTTATCAATTTATTTAAATTTCAATTTTCAAACAGATAGCAACTCCCAAATTTTTTCATCTATATTTTAAGTTAGACCTCTAGCAATACATTGGTGAAAACGGCATTCGAATCCATGCATTCGAACATTCAGACAGAGGGACAGACAAAAATTCTAAGATTTGTTGATTTGGTTTCTGCTGCTCTAAGAATGGCCCCCCGTATTAATTTTCCTTACGTTAAAGATATGTACAGACATTATATGTATAGATATTTTTAAAACTTATTGTTAACCCACTTTTTTACGACAGACTTTCTATTAGTGATTAGTAAAAGAAAGAAAACATCTACCTCGCACCACCTAGTTTTTCATCGAACCAAATCTCCTATGAAGCGTAGGAATGGTGTGATTCCTTCACTGGATAGTTCCGTAATATACCTAAGAAGTTCCTACCTAAAAAGCTTAAGTTGGGCAACTGCAGAATTGCTCGACTGTTCCTTCCTTTCCTATTAATAAGCCAATGACCGGTTACACAAGCCGTGACCATCGAAACGTCCTCTCTTGAAAGGCTGAACAGTTAGTTCCTACTTTTCTTATCAATGCGATGATCTCAGCATAGCCATGACGTATTGGCCCCTTGAGTAATGATATCTCTTATCCTTAAGTTGCAAGTTATTTTTGGTACACCAATTTTACCTCTGCCTTCGCACAGTAGAAGGTACTTTTCCAAGCTAGTTGATCGGATCTGCAATATTTCTATGTCCCGGAATCCATACGATGCTGACGTTGAAGACTTGTGCTAATATTATTCAGTGTAAAAAATTAATCCTGCCCTTCTCCATGGTCTTGGTGTTTGCCACTCTTGACGGGATGTTCGTCTTAAAGAGCTTATCGAAATTGAGTTTAGGTTCTGAGTAGTCGATTTCTTGGTCGTTAATACCCAGATTGCGAAGTATAGAAGCGTGACCGGACCGGCTATCTTTCCATAGCGCTATACTTTTTAGTCTGAGCCCCAAAGCAGCGGCCACTTTTTTCTTATCAGATTTACCACCAGGGATGTATAAAAACGCTGTTCTGTGGACCTTACTCGAGAGTTTTAAGGAAACTTGCTTTTTCAGTTGATGGCCTCCATACAAGTATTCCATATAATAGTTTAGGCCTAACTACAGAAGTGTAAAGGCAATGTGTAATGCGAGGTGTTAACTCCCATTTCATCCCGACCGCTTGTTTGCATTTGTATAATGCGACGTTAGACTTCTTAACTGTTCCTCTAAATTAGGCAATCCCCCCTATCAGGGGTCAGTAGCAGGGAGTTCACTGCCAACGTCCAGAGAATAGGGAAGAGAACCCCTCCAAGAGGGGCATTTTCTACAAGGCCGACAAGCGAGTGTACAGCCATGTGTATGCCTAAACACACATATGCAGCTTTTGGCAAACTATAAGCGGCTAAAATGATTCGTCATCCTTTAGCCGTTGCGTTTTCTAAACTAGATTTAGCTTAACCTATTTTAATAGTCGCTGCTACTACTTTTGGATACATAGAAATGTATACCCATGCATACGTATGTATATGCTCTATGCCATAAATGAAAACTTGTCTGCTTGCTTAAAATGTCATTTGTTGTTTTGACATTTACGCACATCAAAATGACATTTGAGTAGCTGTCAAAGTTAGAAGAAAAACAACCCGAAACTTGTCATAGTAGTTGCGCACAAAAACCAGTTCAAAAAAAAAACAACCTAGAATGACAATTCTCTTTTTTGCTCAACAATCACAAAAATAACAGAGCACAGCATCAGCTTTGCGCAGCTATTTTTCATTTAAACTACGCACAGACTATGGGTACACTTGATTTTCCTGCGAGCTGCGAGCTGCTTGCTAACTGATTTCTCACTTGCCAGTGGGCGGCATACGCATAATCTGACATTGTAAACAGAAAATAATTTGACAGCAACTGAGATTTGTATACTTTGTTTATCATCTGCTGCTAAAAAGTTTAGTAGTAGTAGCGGAAATGCGCGCTCCTGCCTGCGCCACATTTTCGTGCTCACGCCGCGCGCCATATTTGCGCTCACTGTATGTGCCTTGTTGTTTCCAGCATTTGTTTGGCGCCGGGCGCCGCCGGCTCTGCTCAAAAGCACGAACTGTGATTTATGCAGCCCTCGTACGCTGGTCACCCACTGACCGACCCACCGGTACAAAATGTATTTGTATACTTTATTTGGCAAGTAGCAGCGCGTAATTTACTCACTTGTGCTTCATCCCAGAGCGCGTTCAGGCTCTCGCCCGACTTTTCGACTACATTTTGCCAGCGCGGTATCACCACCTTTCGCATTTGTCTCGACTTGGCGCTCACTCTGCTGCTAGGCGCTGTGCTCATTATCATGACGCCTCTCGAGGCGACGATACCATAAACATCGTGCAATTTTAATGGCGTTGTCGATGCTAAACCACCCCCGGGCGCCCGGCACGCACGCGTCTGGCGCAGCAGCAGCCTGCCGGCCTTGTCAGCTTGACTCGTAATCAGCAACGTCGTCGTCATGTGTGTATGCTTACAGTTGTTATTGTGCTTTTTGCAATCGTATATCAGACCCTGCTCGTTACCCAGCTGCTTCTAAATGTCCAACTGTTGGGCGGCATGTTGCTACCGCCGCCGCCGCTCGATTAGAGCTCAGGGTCTTTTTGGCAGCTAGCGCGCGCACACTTGTGCTCCACGTGCTCCCGCTCTCTTTAATTTTGGGGCGCTTGCTGGCGTTGCGTGCTCTCCACAACAAATTCGTTTGGGTTATTTCTTATTTAACCTTCCATTTTTCGCTCGCCGCCGCTCACCTCCGCTGCGCCGACGACACACTGGCAGTGTTTTAGAGCGCCCGCCTGCATGTGTGTGTGTGTATAGAATTTTTGTGCAGTTTTTCTCGCCAAAAGCGACATCGTCTTCATCGGTTTTCACAACTTCGTGCGGTTCGTGATTTTCAACGTCTCGAGTTCTCGATGTCGCGACGACGTTCGCGTGATGAGACAAATAAGATTTTTAAGCTATTTAATATTTTGCAGCGATTGTAGCGTTTAAAAAATTATATATTTCTTGCAAATCGGCAGAGTAAATGCTTAATATTAGTGGACGATAGTGATAAGTGCCAGTAATACGCGTGCGTGTGACGAACTGACAAATGAAAAGGTGGACGACGTTGCGTTAGATAAACGAAGAAAAAAAAATTCCATTTTAAATGAAAATGTGCGACAGAAAAATTTGCTATAGCCATTGGCATTGAGTGAGACAACGAGCGCGGTGCGGAGCGGTGCGGAACGGTGCTAAAATAGTGAGCCAAAGAAGCGCACATGTAAGAAGGCAAAGCAATGCTAAAAAGCCAGGCAAAGGTATGCGACGGTGCTGACAGCTAAAACAAAAGTGAAAAAACGGCGAAAGAAAAAAATTTGCTATCAGCCGTCAGAAGCACAGGCAGCAAGTGTGGCGTGAGGGTGATCAGCACTCAGTCAACCACCCAACCAAACGTAGTGACGATAATAATTGATTAGATAAATTCGCAAAATAAAAGAAAAATTATTTTACGAAACTACCCAGATGTGAAAGCAGAAAGCGCGAGGGAAGGCAGCATAAAAAGCAGCGTAGAAAAAAAGGTGAATAAGCAATGCAACAGTGCAGTGCTCAAATGCAACTGTGGTTCGACATGCATTTGTTTGTACGTGCGTGTGTGTGCGCGCGCGAGAATGTCAAACGATTGCAGGTTGCTTAAGTGAATTAAAAACAAAAAATAAAAAATAAAATAAAAACAAGAAAAAAGCGAAAAACAGAGCAAACAGCCAGCCGCTGACATTTCAGGCAGCAGTGGTGGTGAGACAAGCTGGCGCTGCCACAGTGGGCCGCCCAAGTGTGCTGCAGCTAAGCCAAAACAGCGCTGAATTTCAGTTTCAGCTGTCAAAGCAAAAAAAAAAAACACGAAAAATTTAACAAAAAAAAAGTTATTAAAAAGTGAAAAGTTAGTCAAGCTGATATTGTTTTAAACCAGTAAAGCCAGTGTGCGCGGCGTGTCTGTCCTATATGTGATGTATACTAGTATATAAACGAATGTGTGTGCTATGCACTGAGGTATGGTACTAATTGATATGCAAATATTATAAACCCATTTTAAGATTCTTCAAATGGTTGTTAAAATTTTTAATAAGCGATTTAAATACACACAACGCTGCGATTTATAAATAATGTATAAATATTTTTATGAGACTTATAAAGCGTTTTCTTTCTATGTATTCGTACTACATATCTACTTTTCGCTAGTAATTTCAGTTGCACGCAGTTTGCAAGCCACGCGAATTTAATGAGCGCGTATCGAAATGAAAGTCAAGGTCAACCAAGCAACTAACTAAATTCCAACCGACCCACATGCACGTAGCAAATCCGCTACACTACCCACTTTTGTTAAGTTCGTTTTTAGCAAGCAAGGCGGGGGCAGGCAGGCAGCTGATATGGTGATCAAAGTAAAAAAGTTATTAAAAGCACATAAAAAGTTAATGAATAGTATGCATAAAGAGGGATTTTGAACAATCAAGTGTTTGTTCTCGCCTATTTCATGCACGTAAGTACATTAGATCGAACCAGAAAAAAAGGTTGCCTTACACTTTCGTCGCATCGAATGTATTTTTGTAAAGCTATTTCGAATTTTTTTTGGCGGAGTCGGGATTTACCCTTTTACATTTTTCTTCATATCTTTGGCATTTTCAGTTAGAGATCTTAAAGTGTGACTTATCGATTTTCTTGCCTCGAGGGGAATTTTATTTTTGTGTGGCATTTTGCCTGTTCTTTGACCTCAAGTGCCCCCTTCTAGTGCTTACCCACCATACCGCAGTACTTATCCTCCTAAAGTGCCACCCTAATGTCACTCAGTTAACAAAAAATCATTAAACTTTTGCTTAGGAAATATATCAATTATTCCAGCAGAACAATTTAAAAAAGAAAAAAATATGGCCGAACACCGCAAAATTAAAAAATGCGAGTTCTATATTCGGCCTAAAAAATAAAAAAAAAATAAAAATTTCGCAATTTCCTTCCAAAAATACTTTAGACTCAGTGCTATACGGTGAAATCTTTTTTTTTTTTTTGCTTGTAAAGTGGTGCGATCTAATGTACAAATGTGTACAATTTTTGGAATATAACTTTTAAAATTCTTCTGGCCAAATATTTGTTTCATACTTTTCTGCTATTAAAACAAACAAATAACGCCATCAGTATACACAAGAAAATTATGATTTGCTTAAACATATTATGCCACCTGCAACAGTCAGCTACAATTGTTTTTGTTATTTTTTGGCCTTTATAACAAATAAATTCAACAATTTATATTGAGCTCGAGGCCGTTTTAAATGAAAATTTTATTTTTTTTTTAATTTATTGTTGCTTTTCCACAATAAAATTTTCATTTAAAACGGCCTCGAGTCAGCTAAAATTAAAAAAATATATATTACCAAATACCAAAAAACACTAAGCGAAGAATGTCTTGTAGCGCAACGTAATTTATTTTTATTGTACTTGTACCCTAGCCTTTCTAGCGTAAATTAATTGCCTTTCAGAACATGTTTTATTTTTGGGTTTGCAGAATTTCAATTAATTACACTAATCAGCAAAATTTTGGAAAAATTTTGAAGTTATTTTTTGTTTTTGAAAAAAAAATACGTTTTATTTTATTAAAAAATATATACATAAATTAAACAATTTTGTTAACTAGATTTTATTGATTTTTTTTTCAAACAAATCAAATTAATTTGAAAAGTTTAAAAAGTTGCATTTTCACCACATTCCCAAAATTGAGGTTACTGATGAGTAATTAAGCCATGTGGGGTTAATCTCAATCGAAAATCAAAACTATAAACCGATAATTTTTTCGCCACACTCTTAAGAAATCGGTTTATGGGTAATGTATAGCGCACAGTGGTACGCTGCATATATTTTTTGCCGAACGAAAGGCTTCGATATTTCGTTCCCCAAAACTTTTGACCGGATTTTATTTTTAAAGAAAAAATATGAAACTTATGAATATGAACTTACTTAGATTTTTTTTTTAATTCATCGGCCGAAATTTTGCCATCAAAACACCTTGTGTACCTCCAAAAAACACACACAGTAGGCATTGTCTGGTTGGTAACCGCACCTGAAACTGAACTTCGCCTACAATGAATTCTGTCGAAGTCGGTAGAGCATCTCCTTTGTAGATGTTCAGCTGAAATGATATGCAGGAATACAATGCCAGGAACATATTTAGTTCACATCTTTTCAGGAACTGCCAAAAGCCTCATACGTACCTAGTTCTTGCAAAGATGGGACTAAAAAATAATAATTTATCCCACGCTCTTCAACTCAGGAAGGGCGAATTAGTTCAGTATTGAGGTAAAGCCAGCCAGTGGTCATAGAGTGCGTAAAGAAGCTAAATGGCCTGGCTAAGAATAATGTTATCCAATTTATATGGGTGCCACGACACATAGGATCCGAAGGAAATAAGGAAACCGATCAGTTAGCCGGAATGGTTGCTGCCTCAAACCCGATATGACATGAACCCTTCCTTTCAGTAAAACCCAACACGATAAAGAAAACCGCCAGAAAGAAAATACCAAACTAAGGGAACTGCATTGGCTTAACACCGAGGATCTTAGTCAAGCTAAAAGCTTAATAAAAAGATACAGGCTACTCATGAACTCCCTAAGAGGAAACTAAGAATCATTACAGGCATTTGATGGGCCATTGTAGGCTAAGAGGAAACTCGCCTAAGCTAGGGATCTATGAAGTGGCCTTCTGTGACATCGCCAAGAAGATCTCATTACGCCTACTCCTGGAATGTTAGGCGATTTACGTAGAAGGGAGAGGAGCAAAGAGCGGCTATGGCTAAGGGACGAGCACATACACTCCATACCTTTGGGATCTAAGTTAATTATTCTTTCACGCTAAAATAACGGGACGTGTTTCAATGAAATTTTTCGCACAGATAAAATATTTTACATTTTTCGAAGAGAGCTGCCAACGTTTTTAAACGTTAAAATCAATTCATACATACTTAAGTTAAATAAAATATTATAACAATGTGGCTGTCAAAGGGGATTCAAAACTGAATTCCTTCGAAATTATTTTTGAAGCAGTTGGCCACCAGTTCAAATAGTTATAATCAATTTATTTGCCAAGTTAAATCAAATATTTTAATATGGTTATCAAAAGAAAGGTTTTAAAAAGCTTTTTTCAAAAATATTTTTGACGAGGGTTGCCACCTCTTACAAAGTTTGAAATCAATTTAGTTTACGAGTTAAGTAAAATACTGAATATAAGCGTCAAACGAGACAGTTTTGAAAAACTTTCATTTCGAAAATATTTTTGTCTTGAGTTGCAACCGGTTTAGAAATTAAAAATCCATTTAAAAGCTCAAATTATATATTTTAATACAGCTGTCAAGCGGGAGAGTTTCGAGAAAGTTCTACTTCGAAATGCGCACATAAAAATATGTGTATATAATGGTAGTTACAAAATGACTAAATACAAGGGCCGCCAAAACACAAACGTTTTGTTAAATAGTGTGCTTATGTACCATACGAATGTCTAATACTTTTTTTTTGCGTTGCAGAAGCTGTCTAAATTCACAAATAGCAATGAAATTTATGTACATACATATTTTTATTATTATTTTTTTTTTTCAAATAATGGCATAGTTGAAATATTTTCTCCGCCTGCAATTTGGTAGCCACAGCCATTTCTTCAGCGTGGTACACCCACAAGCGTTGGCAAGCTGTTGGGCTTTTCGCACCACCCGTACGGACGAGTTGTGTAAGTGGCATGTTAGATGGTAAGCGTACAAACATACGTATGTACATAAATATATATGTAGTATGTACATTGTTACCTATCACGCCATATTGTAGCAATCAGTCAAGCAGCTAAGCAAATCACGTCTGATTTACACGAAAAATTCCACTTTTGATTTTCGTTCACATCTGGAATTTTATATTTGCTGAGCATAGTTTTGTTGTAATAAAAAAAAAAATGTTCACAACATCACAGACATGCCACAAAATTGAATGAATTTCAATGGTATGGTAATTGAGAAATTTTGCAAATATTTTAAGTGACGTGGGCGGAGGGAAAAACTGGTTTTAAAGAATTTTCACGCATAAGCCATGGCGTTGCAAGGGTAAACTGTGATGAAACATAAACGTTTTACACATACATTAACGTGCATATATGTATATAAAACCAAAGAACCTTACAAAATATTTACTAAAAATGTAAATCGAAAGATTTCGCTTGTTTTCTCTCAAAATTTTCCATTTACAGAAAAATTTGCCAAATAAAAACTGTTGTAAATGGATTGCGAATTTAATTTTGGTATGATGAAATACATACCCCCATAAAACGGGTAGCTTGTTAATTTCAATGCTTCGCCAAGCTCGACTGCTTGCACACAGGTACGCAATGCCAAATGGTAAGAAAACGAAAATGAATGCAATTTAATTTCAATTGAATTTTTCCAATGCAAAAAAAAATAAAAAAATAATTGTGTAAATTCTGAAAAGTACATAAATAAATACTTTGTGCTTTGAAGTGTTTGCAGACGCAACAACTACAACAAAGCTAACAAGAAAATACCGTGCACTCAGACGAGGTAAATGACAGAAGCTACATATATAGCTTATGTACATACATTAGGGCGGGTCAATTTGTATGGGATATTTTTTCGGCTATGCGCGTATAGCACAAAACGATTATACGTGTCATTCTAAGCAAATTTGCCGAAGAAACCATGGGTCTAAAGACAATTTAGAGTTTGCCAAATTGCGAAAATAGGTTTCTTAGTGCTTAAATTTTGCATAAAACATGCTATCAGGGGTTTTTCGGTATGAGGAAATTTTCTTCACACTTCCACCTGAGAGCGCAAGAGTGCAAATTTTCACATTTTCTTCGAAACGAATCTGCGAAATTTGGCAAACTCCAAAGTGATTTTAGACCCTTGGTTTCTTCAGAAAATCCTCCTATGCTATACGCGTATATTAAAAAAAAAAACTGACCCGCCCTAACATACATACATATGTACATACACACGTAGTTTTCATCAATAA